TATGTTTGAATTCTACAAGACCACTGACACTTTCTATGGTTTACCCCCAAAATAACACATGCAGGATGTTTAGAAAAAAGTTTGTAAATCTCAAGCTGGAGGCAAGTAATTTAAAGCTTTTTTAGTGTTCTCCTGAGTCAAGTGCATTGATCTGTAAGAGAAAACAGTAAGCTTTGTCTGATTCTCACCAGGCTGCAGTAACAAAGTACTCCTGAGTCATCAGACTCTTTGATCAAGGCTAACATTAAACATGTAAATCACAATGAAAATCATCATCCAAAATAGAAAATACAGCAAAAGCCACATGCAGCACTTACCATCAGGATATTTATGACTGTCTTTCTCCTGGGCATCTTGTGCACATCAGAATCTTTCAGCTCAATTGTTGTGACCACACGCTTGCTAATCAATTCATTGATGGCAGAATCCAGTTTCAACACAAGCTGTCTCTTTGATTTGTCTCACTGCTTGGTAATCCACCTTGACAATTTCCTCCCGCGCATGCAGCATTTTGAAAACTCTCTGCTCATTTATTTGTTCTGACTCATTAACCAGCATCCACTAACCTGCAATCCATTTACAGCGTGGAGAGAAAACCTGCTTGACCTCAACTCTAGCACCATTTAGAGAAGAAAGAAGACAGTGGTATGTACATGCAATTTGATGTAGTGGTGTCCATTTCCTACAGTTAGAACAGTTTTATTAAAAAAAAAACTGAATGCGTATTTGCGTTCACTCAGGCTTTCTGTTGGAGAGAAAGTTTTTTTTGTGTCTACATTTGCCTAAGTTTTTTATGCAATTATTGGTTCATCCTGTGAATGTTCTCTGTCTTGGTATGCCAGAGATGCAGGTTTCTCACATATGTATACAGAGAGCGGAAAACAGCATTTGTTATTTAGTGTGAAGATCCTTTTCTGGGGTGGGGTGGGGGAGGCAGTGCCACATATTATTGGCTACCATTTCAATACTTATTACTAGACACTATCTCCATTTTTTTCAGCTTTGACTTGATCAAATTTTGTTTTGTGGGTTAAGGGGTTGAAGCGGGGTGAGTCATTTGCCAAATAGGCTGTCCTTTTATGTTTTCTTTTTCTAGGTTAACAAAAGATTCCAGGCTGAGATAGCTTTTAATTATAACAGCCCCAAGTGCTAGGGTGATGACACTTAACCCACGCAAGAAAATCAATTGTTTATGTTTCTTATCACCAAGAGAAAACAAAACGTCACCACCAGAGCTTATTAGCAGATGAACAATGAATTTTATGAGGTTGTTAGAGTGGTTCTCATAAACCTGTGAAATATACTTTAGCATATTTTGCACTATTACCTTCCAATTTGTTTGTTTCTATTTGGAGTTACAGGGTTAGTATACTTTAGTTAATTCATTCTAGTTTATTGGTTAGAGTGATTTCAATAAACCTGGAGAGTACTAATTAACTGTTTGTGTTTTGAGTGACTTTCATTTTCTGTGAAAAAATAGGGTAACTAATAGTTAGTGGTGTGTTGTGAATCTTTCGTTTTCTTTTGTTCTATATCAACTACTACAAACCAAAGAGTCTCTTTTTTTATTTCATGGGGCAATGAAAATTACTCTAAAACATGCAAAGTAACAAAAGATGACAAAGCATTTAGTATGTAATAACTTCAATATGATTCATCTGCAGTACCCAGGCTTATTGAAATCACTCCAATCAAAACCACTATTTTCAATAGCCCTTGAATGAAAAATGACTATTTAGTTTGTAGCAGTTGATAATGGACAAAAAATTCAGAGTCTGCTAATTACAGTAATTGCAAATTTTCGTTTACATATGAAGATTATCTAGTTGTTTTCATTCTGTATATAAGCACTGAGGATAAAGACACACTGTAAGATTAGGATAGTTTTAATATTTTTTCATATGACTACATGTCTACTAATTACATTGATAATTATTTTAAGGGTTTAATAGTAGAACTTATCATCCAACAAAAAAAATAAAAAAATTTATTTATGAGGTATAAGTTCATATGCAGAGTTGTTCCCATATGTGTTATTGTAAATCAAAGAGCACGAACTCATTGGCACACATTGTTGAACTGCATTCTGTCTAAAAACTAACTCGTTACCCAGACTATATGGAGCTGCTATTGTTTTGGTAAGGTCAACATATATTTGAGGACAAGGATTTTGTCTCTACTTAATTTATAGTTACAATAACTTGCTGTGAGCCTTACTCTTGCGAGAACACATCAGTTTGTTACAAGAAAAAAGCAATGTTAAATATTGACTGGCTCGATATTTTATCTTTCTTATACTTTGACGAATTTTTCACAACAGTTAAACTTAAATGTCGTTTTATTCAATAGTTTTTAGCATTTCCATAACAGAACAGCATGTTTCTTGCTGAAGGTTCACTCATAAATGTTCGCTCATAAAGAGATTTCTCAAAAGGTTCGCAGACCAATCCGTTCCGAAAATGCTCGACATCTTTTAGTGTGGGTCTACCACGAACGCTGTGTGCATATTTTATATGCGTTTTCGGCGTACTATACTTAATATCTGTGCTGATTTTGCACTGCTAAAACTTCTCTTCTTCCGCCATCACACCATATGCCATGTGCTCATCAGTGAAAAGATCGCGCATGCGTCTGAGTAAAAAAAAACCCGTCGTGCATGCGTTTTAAGGACTTGACTGCGATTTGCAACTAAACGGAAGAAAAACGAAGTCGGAATTTCAAATCGGGCGTTTCCTTTGGAAAGCCCAAGTAAAAACGTTTCTTCTCTGGAACTTACCTGAGCTCATGGGGCTTACATGTCATGGGGTTTACGTGTCCCATTTCGATTGGTGAAAAGCGCATCTAAAAAATCCAAAAACTCAGTAAATCAGCGAGTTTTTTTGTAGCTAATCATTGGCGACTTTCTTCAAATTGCAGAGCGCTCTGACGAAGGTCTAACGCTCGAAACAGCACCACAGTTTCTTCAGAAACTTACCCCGTTTAATACTTTCTCCACGACTCTAACCCATGAAACAAAGTACACTGGGGGATACATTCAGATTATTACCTCTTAAACCCCAATCATCTCCTCTGGAGCATATGAAGTCACGATATTTTGATTGAGCAGGTCGTTAGCGCGTTCGACAAACACAATTTAAACAATGGAAAAGAGAAGGGGATAACCGATGCGCCGATTAAGTGCGCAGTGGTGTGTGCAGATGAATGGCTTTATCTTTGGCACCTGTGTGCTGCTGTCCTATCAGTCACATCCTTATAAGGAAAGCGCACTCATACCCGTACCTATGGAAAGTTGGCGCGGCTACGAGACTGTTGAGTGTACAACTTTGATATTTTTAGAAGTAAGTGTCCGAGTATCTTCCCGAAATGACGCGCCGCTTCGAATCGCCCAGGATATATGAAATAGATTTCCAAACTGATCTCCTTTACTCGTCACCGACACAGCCGTGTGTCTGGAAAAAACAGAGAAGTTTTGCTTGATTGAACTAACTTGTAAAGCAAATTTTCTGATAGTACAGTGTCTCGATACACGCTGAGTTCTCCATCGAAAACAAAGATGAGAGGAAAGATTTCACTACAAAAGACGAGTGTCAATTAAGCATATCTGCGCTAAAGTAAGCTCCTCTAGTTGTGTCTCACACATGCGTACTAAGATGATCCCCGGGTGTAATAATACCTCTTCAAGAACATGTTTGCATTAAATCAGTTTTTAATTTAGTGTCAAAAGTCACAGAGGTTGCTTTAGTCTGGCTTTCCTTCGCTTCATGATTGGTCAATAAGATTCGCGCCATCATCTCAACCAATCAGATGTAAAACTAAAACCAATGGCCTGTTTTTTTTTTCTACTTTTAGTTTTAATTGTCTAGTGATGATTCTAAACTTTGTTATATTTGGCTGTTGTAATCACTTTGGTTTTGGAAACCGCTTAATACCTAACCCTGACAAAATTTTTCTTAGCTCCTATAACAGAGGAACAACTTTATGTCAATGGTTCACACATTGATTCCCTGGTAAGTTTTTGTATTGTATTCAGGTCGTGACCATTGAAGACTTGTTTAGGAAGACTTCCACAAGATAATTAATTCTAATTTTTTGAGTAAAAACATTTTTTCGAAGAACGTATTTGCGGCCTTACTGTGGCCTATAGGCTAAAAAGAAACGAGATACCCTAAATTTAAAACAAATGCAGATTATTCCGGATTGGACATTACGTAATTTAGTAATATATACATATGATCGTCACAACAAACTGTAAATTTCACGAGAAGATGTGAATGACACGATGCTTTTGTAGCTCAGCTGCAGGTATTCCTCACTAGCCCCTTTAACTCTCATGAACCAATTGTTCGTTCTCCCCTCTAGCTATTACACATTTCCATACAAATAGGTTACGAGAATTTGGCGTAAGATGAATATAAATATATACCTGTTTGCTGGATAATGTATGGGTAATATAAGGGAAAGTAACGTGTCAATCACTCCCGGTAGTTAAAGGGTTAACACAACTTAATTACTGGCTCATGCGATTTCAAGCAAATTAACTTCGTCCTTCTCCAATAAAAACTGACTGATTGCGTATTTTGGCTCTATAACAAACTTATCGCAGTTTTCTACCTACATTAAAATTCACAAAAGAAACTACTTGAGTAGTCAAAGAAAAGCTAATTTTTTGTTGTTGCAGGATTTGCACATTCCTTGCTTAACTTGCTTCAACGTTAACTGCAAAGATAAAATGATGTAGGTTACTATACATCATGTTGAAAACTTATCACCAAAAACATTGTTCTTGGAAAATTCGCAACATAATTTTGAATAAAGAAGGTCCGTTTGGGACAGTTGGTTTGGGCAGACTTCTCGCCATTGTGCTCCAAATTAACCAACTAAAATTTCCATGGGACTGCAATAGTACTATTTGCGCTATGTATCGAGGTTTGCTATAATTATAACCTCGAAATAATTTCAGAACTATCGCTAAAAGTTTTTGACCTCACGTTAACACCTTTTTATAAGTCCAGATTGACGTCATCTCCGAACAGAACAAATGGTGCCCACTCATTGACTCTGTATCTCTTGGAATCTCTCATCCACTTCATGGTCTGGTGAAGGGCCTCACTGGCACTCAGTTTATCGCGCTTAAGATGTCCGTAGAAACGAATCATGAACTCTTTCGTGGCTCTGTCATCCACGGCCCACAGGGTAGCCAGCACTGAGCGAGCTCCCGCTGCCAAAAAGGCGCGAGAGATACCCACAACTCCCTCTGATTTCATAATCTGTCCCTTGCCACTGTGACAACAGCTGAGTACAACCAGCTTGGCTCGGGTACCAACTTTTGCGACGTCTTCCATGGTAAGCATGAAGTCATCCTTCCTTGGACTTCGTCTGGATGGAAAACTTGAGGCAAGAGCAATTTCCCCTCTTTCTGGATCACCGTGGGCAGCAATGTGGATCAAGCTGACTTCCCGAATCCGTTGGAGAACGTGCTTTTTGGTGGCTTCGTCTCCCACAGTAGGCGACACACCCAACAATTCTGCAATTTCCAGTGCTTCTCTTCTTGCTCCCGGCAGTGATGGTAACTTCGTTTGTGGGGGAACAGAGGGATTACCAACGATCAATGCCCCAGTTACACTGTGGTAATCTTCAGGACTGTCCTGGATCATCCTTAGTGCTGTCAGTGATGGAATCAGGCGGATCCGGAAGGTCTCTGACAGGAATTTGTCGTTGTGATCACATAATGCGCAAAATGGCACCATAAAATCCTCTCCTTCTGGGATGATGATGATGTCTTGACGATGAACAAGATCAGCGATAGGGGCGAAAATATCATTATACCACTGGTAGAGGTCAGTGTCCTCCTTTTCTTCCTCTTCCTCCTCTTCTTCTACGAGACGCTGCCTGCTTTTTCCTTTTATTTCCCTAGATGATGATTTTAATCCATAGTATGCTGACAATGAGCGATCTTCGCATTCAGGCACAGATTTCCCTCTTAGCAAACTCTTGAGCAACTCTATGGCGTCCTTCGCCACTTTACATTTCAAAGACTTAAATTGAATTTCTCCACCCTCCAAAACCCAGAAATATTTGTCAAACCGATGCGTAGCCATGAAGAGGATCGTACTCGGGTTCTTGATGGAAAGATTCCTGAGACAATTAAGATAAAATTCGTGTGAATTGTGTCTTTGGATGCCATATTTCTTGGACAGTAAGTCGCCGAGAGCTCGTGCACGTCCACGCTCTACGGTACACAGCGCCTCGGCGAAATGTCCCTGACTGATACGAAGCGAACATAATTCGTAATAGCTGGTAAAGGTCATGTTGTCCAGTGAAAGTTTATGTTCGTCGCGCAGCAGTTCACGGTTTCTTTCAGCGCAAGTAATGCTCTCAGAAAAGAAATCATGTGCTTTCTTTAGCTCTCCCTCTCTCCTATTACAAATCCCGAGAAAGGTAAGAGCCTCGTGTTCTTTTCCTGTATCTCCAATGTTTCTTGTAATTTTTAGGGCTTTCTGCAGGATTTGCTTCGCTTTCTTCAGATTGCCAAGGGTCTCGTAAACTGATCCAAGATTAATCAAAGCTGTAGCTTCGCCTCTTTTATCATTTAATTCTTGCATGATAGAAATCCCCAAGTTGAAGTTCTCTATAGACTCTTTAAATCGGCCGCAACACATGTAGCAGAACCCCAGACTGCCGTAGCTCATGGCCTCGTTGTATTTATCTCCAGTTTCCTTAGTAAGTCTCAGAGCCTTCTTTGTATACTCCTCTCCCTCACCAGGATTTCCCAGGCAAATACATACATCCCCGAGACCAAGGTAGGAACCTGATTCACTTCTCCTATCCCCAATTGTCTGACTGCATCTAATAGCTTCAGTAAAACTATTCATAGCTTCCTTTTTCTGGCCAATCGCATTGTATATGTTACCTAGAAGATTATGAGCTCGACCCACGCGGAGTTTGTTCCCAGTTTCTCCTAGAATATTTACAGCTTCAACCTGGTGTTCCAAGGCTTTTGCAAACTGACCGAGCGGAGTGTAGCATAGACCAAGGCTGTGATGGGCTAGTCCTAATTGCTCTTTGGATCCACATTTTTTCATAATTTCAAGAGATGTTTTGAAGTAAGCTAGTGCGTCATTGTTCCGAGAGATTGCATTATATGTCGTGCCAATGTTATTGTAGCAGACACCTGCATCGACCTCATCTCCATGTTCTGCCATCAGGCGCAGTGACTGAAAATGACATTCTAATGCCTTGTTGTAATCCCCCTTCTCGTGATAAGTCATTCCAAGATATTGATACGAATATCCCTCTTTTCTGCTTTTGCCAATTTCTTTGAATATCTCCAAGGACTTCTCCAGGTATCTGATTGCTTCTGGGTAACGAGCAAGGTTTCTGTATTTGCCACCAAGCTCACGAAGTATATCTCCTTCCGTTTCTTTATCTCCGATCTCTTTGCAGATTTTCAGCGCGTCACTTTGACACTTGATGGATAAATCTTGCTTACCCAGATAGTAATAAGAATCTCCCATTGTTGCAAAAGCTGCTATTTCATCCCGTTTGTTCCCAGTTTCTTTTGCAACTTGAAGTAATTTCCTTAAAAATAAAATCGAATGAACGTGTTGACCCATTGAACAGTGAATGTCACTGATGCCTCTATATGCTCTTACTTCCCAGTCTTTATTCCCAATTCCTTCGTTGACTCGTAAAAGCCTCCGGTAGCTTTCCAATGCTTCCGTAAAATCATTTAGACCTAAGTATGAAAGGGCTAGTTTGTAATGCAACAACATTTGACCGAAATTGAAAGATTCAATTTCAAGTCCACATTCGTTCAACAAGACTTGAGCCTCTTTGTACAGATCAATAGCTTTCTGATAAATATGACTCTGATAAAGGAAGTCTCCTGCCTGGTGAGCAATATGGAATTTCAAAGCTTTATCCCAATTCGACATCTGTAAAGAAAACATGCTAGTATTAATGGGTGAATCAATCAACCTTCTTCACACAAACATCGGACTATACCGATAAATTTAAGAAATTTCAACATTAAAATTACCCATTATATTTCATTTTAGACTTTCCCCCTTTTCTTAACTGGAACAACAACAACAAAAACAACAAGACGTAAGAGATCCAATGAGTCTAAGCTAGTTAACAGGGAACTTGAGCGGTCAGGACGACAGCGTCGATAGAAAATTAAATGAATTTAAATATATAGTCAGAATTTCGCGAATGGCTGGATGTGTTTACCGCCTCTTACAGCTCTACACCTGTACTTCAGCGTAACGTATGTGAACAGTGTTGAGTTCCAAATTTAAATTTAAATAATTTTCCGTCGGGGTTCCCTTTCTATGACCACGCAAATATTGGTGATTTCACGTTGTTACTTTGTAGAGGACAGCTTAAAAAATGTTCGAAGTTTTAAAATGCACGTGCTAAGCTATCGTTCTACTTATTAATTCCATTGTTTTGCAACGTCCTCGTTACCGTTGCCGTCGTGGTTTTCTTCGGGTCCCAAATCGAAATACAACACGATCACTCCGGATGGTTAGTAGTGTAGGAGATGGCGGTACGAGACTACTTTGAAAAGGTGGTCTCGTACAGACGCCAACTCTCTATACTACTTTCCATATTTTTGTAATAATTTGATAGCATTATTTGATGGAATAATTTTATAATATCACAGCGTCGGAATACTATAGGAGACTAGCGATATTATCTTACACCATTTTTCCACTGCTTGACGTTATGGTTTTTTTATTTCAGTTTTGAATTTTGTAAGATGTTGTACCATTTTCATGGATGTATCTCTTATCATCAAAGCAGCTGAGTGATACTTTATTCAGCTCATAGCTTCCAAGTTGGTGATTGTTGCTTCGGATAGTTTCATTTTGTGACATATTTGTTTGTTATTGAAAAATGCATGTTTATAATCTCCATGTTTGATATCTTTTTTACAACATATTTCTTTATTCCTTCTGATGTTTTATCAACTTTTTCATTATCTTTCACATAAGAGTACATTTGTGATCGCAATCCCATTGATACTGGAAATTCAGTTCCTGAGTAATCCAAATTGTCAACTTATTGTTTATCAGTTTTTTTTTATTCGCTGAGGGTGCTTTTCTTTAGGGTTTAAATGTCTGATATCACACCATCTGAGACATTCACTGTCATTACTTTTAAGGTTTATCAATCCTTTCGCAAAATTTCTCAATTCAGAGGGTAGTTGAATGTATGATGATCCTTTCAGAGGGTTGTACTGAACAATGTTTATATAACGATTGTCAACTGGTTTAATAGCTCAACTAGAACCTTCTGATATCCAAGTCACAATCTTATTTTGAATCTCTTGACCTGCAAATAACAAATCCTCATCAGTATCTTTGGTGTTGATTACTGTTTTAGTTTTGCTATTGAAGAATACTGTTTTGATAATTATGCCATCTTAAGTAACATGTGACACTTAAAGTCTCAACAAATTTTAGACCTTTCATTTTATGTAATTGTTTCATGAGGTTAAATTGAATGACTGTTGTTGTGCTTCAATGGATCTTTATTGTCTCTAACACCAATCTCAAATTATTTGGTACATCCTTTCAGAGCTTTACTTGTTTTCTCTATTTTGGTTCTTGGTGTTGGAACTGATGTGTATCTACCTCTAAACTCAAGTGGTGGAGGGATGATGTTATCTTCGTACTCCTGCACCATTTGTTTAACACTCTTTCGTAGTTTTGGGGTTTTCGTATCTGCGATTGTTATGTCGCTCTGCTTCTCCATTTGTTTAATGCTTGGTTTGGGAGTTGATTCTACATTCTTTTTTAACAACAGTTTGATCAATTTTGAATTACTGAGCTTTTTCACACCAGCCTTATTCATTTATATATGATTACATTTTTCCGATTTTATCATACTATATAGATATAAAATATTTCTTTAACACAGTTTATAATAAAATTATGTTAAGGAAATATTGTACAAACTATATCATATGAGTAAAATCGAAATAGATGGATGCCTTCATAATCTTCATTCATTTTATGACTTGAACGCGACAAATCAAAATAGAAACTAATTCAGGTATCATAAAAATGGTTTGCGAGCCTTTGAATATATGTAAAACAGGAACTTCGAAGAAGGATGGTTGTAAGTATAAAGTTAAGTATATTGAAAAATAGAATATATTAAATGATTTTGACATCAAAAAATCAAGTAATTTATCAAAAAGATTAACAAATGATGAAAAGAAAGTAAATCAAAAGAAAGTAAATCAAAAGAAATCACCTAAAAAGTGGCGACAAAAAGAATTTATAATAGTGTAGTTTGATCGTCCGGGTGAGTGTAATCCTGAGAAGGACTGTTGTCGGTAATGGTGACTGACGTTTCGAAAGCCTGAGCGGAAGGCATCATCAGAGTCAAGTGAAAGGTTGTTGTCAGTCGAATGTACTTTGTCGGTTTGTATAAACTGATTGGTCAGTTTTGCCGTGATGTTATTGGCTGTAAGACTCAAGTGGTGTAGGTCAGTCGTGATTGGTCGGTTTTACCATTTACAGTAAAAAGAATTTATATGTCCAAGATGTGAAAAAAACGAGGAATTGTGCAATTAATAATTGTATTTTTGGGTAGCAGCAAATAAAAAGTATATACTTTACAGATCACTGTAATATATACTTGCTTTTAGAGGTTCTTGGGAGATTTAGAAATTGAGGTTTTAGATGAATATAGAAAGGCATTCGATGCTCTAACGACATCTAAGAATTACGTAATAGGTAAAAAGGGACAGGGCATCAGAAAATACGAACAACTAAAAAGATATGCATATAAGATCGGTAACGGACAACACAAGAGTTTGATAATTAACGTGGCGAGGTTTATGAATGAAATGGTTAATGAAGCTCACAAAGGTAGACAAATTGTATATGAGGACAGAACTGACAAACGTTTGATTGATTTGTTGACAAAGCGATTCAATCCAAAGAAGAAATATTCAATCAAAGCCGTTCAAATATTCAACAACCTCAACATGTTATCGGAAATGCCAAAACATCGATCTTCAGGCAAATTAAATCTGATCGGTGGAACGCTTTATTACACAACTCCAGAAGATTTGATGAATTGAATGAATGAATTGTCTGAACTGTCTGTGATATCAAAAGCACATGACGCATATTAAACGGCATTTAATGTAAGCAATAATATATGAATAAACCATCATCTTTGAATTCAGTTGATAGAGTAAGAAAAACCAAAAGCCATGATTTCACCATCACTTTTACTCTACAATTGACGCTCGACGAAAACAAAAATTATTATCTTGCGGTCGACTCTGTCAACATGAGTTACCGCTGGGACAATGTTTCAGCAAATTAGAAAACAAATACATATAGATACGGTCATAACAATGGAACTACTTGAACAACCGTGACATTACAGAACAGCATCAGAAAACCAAGGCATGTATGTATTTGGGCTCCCAAAGACAATGAACAGAAATCATTCATGAATGGCAATTTTTGGAGCCTGAGGACTGTCCAACTTAAATAGTTTAAGAAGACTGACTCGACTCTACGAAATTGTAGATAATTTTTGTAGGACCCTTCCTCTTTCAAGATCACCCTGCCCGGAGATAAAATGCAGTTTTTCACTAGCGATTGTTTGACCATTGATCAATTTGATGCAATGCCTTGTCAGTGTTCGCGTAAATCGGCTAATCTCTGCTCTGTCAAGTAACGCCAGTTCCCAAAATTTCTATCGATAGAGGATAAGATGACCACTTGCGAATTTCAACTTACATAAATACGAACGAACTAGGTGCTCATAAACAAAACATATTTGAATCTCATCAAAAAGGTTTTTCAGTTTTCTGATTCACAGTCAAGGCTAAAGAAAAACGAAAGTCTAGATTTCAAAACAAGGACAAAGATTCCTCCTGATTATGAGCTGCAATCCATCCCTGAATGTTTTTGCCGACTACCGGCTGTCAGTCTGCTGCGATCGATTTTGTAACATTAAAATACTGCAATGAGTAAATTTCATCGCCTACATACCTTTCAGGGCCTTTTAGTAGTCAGAAGTATGAAGTACTGGTGTTCTTATGATGTTAAATTCGGTAATCGTCGCGAGATTTAGTTAAACGTCTCCTTCAAGATCGAAAGAAAAACCAGAAAGGTATGTGACGACTTTTGATCATGACATAATCACTCACGTGACGCTTTGAGGTACAATTGCAAGTGTAACACCATACGTTTTGACACTTGTGCAGATCAACCGGTTTTCGTCTGTAGAATTAGAGAATGAAAAAGCACGAGTATATGTGTGACAGTACTCTCGATTAACCTGCTTTCCTTAAACTTCCAATTCTTAGCCACTCTCGTATAAGAATTTGATATTCTTGACTTCTTTGAGAATGATTCATTTCCTTGTTTTTGGTCAGAAAACAAACATGCTTTGATAAGGTTCGACGCCGAAGTTATGATATCTAACACAATCTTTTTACTTTGCACAATGTCTAAATGTCCTTAAAAAGATATTTCGAATTGGCTTGTATTGCGGATTAAAATATCCCTGCAACCTATATTCGTTAACCCTCTCTTTCCTTTGAAATTCCCAAGAGGCAGCACTCTTTAGGATAGCTTTACTAATAGCACGAATGGAAATGATAAAACGTTGAAGGGAAAATGAAAATGCTTGTTTTAGTGGGCCCTTGATTAACGATGCGAAATTGGTACAAATTCAGTTTATAGGATTTTTCGTTGTAACTTTATTGATTTAACTTTACCTTTACTTAACTTTGAACGATACTTTTAAATACGTACTATATATGGTTTCGTCCATTGACCTACACTCAGTTCACTGACTCATTGTACCCTTTAATTATTATTTTTTTGGTCTCATTTTGAAAGTGTAGTTGTCTGCACAAATTGATTCTAGCATCGATTTTATTATAGACTGAGTGCATCCTCTTCCATTTTGATTTTGAAAGCTAAGGGTATTTTACACGACCTTTTACACTTTTTCCTCTGATACAAATTGTGACAACCCCAGGGGATAGACAAAAACCAGCCAGGGTACATTTTGTGCAAATCTCTCTCGCAACCTTAAGCTAGTTACAAAGGTCAAATATGTGATGAGAAAACTGTGGAACAGGCTGAACAGTATAATAAACATTTTGATTAATTTCGTTCATATTTATAAACAAATTTTTTTTTTCCGGTAAGCGGTCTTTATTTCTTTGCTTACGTCACTAACATGTGCTTTCGATAACCGCCTATGTACTTGGGAACAGTTTTGAAATATGATTGAGTTTCTCGTATGGTTGTATTGCTTCATCACAAGGACCACTAGAGGAAGTAAATCCAGGCGTTAGCCAAATTACTTAAATTGCTAGAAACATTTTCAACCTATTTCTATATAAAATTAAGTCCGTTAAAAAATCAATATGGAAAACATCACTTCTAGAATAGTAGAGCTTGATCAAAGTCTTGACCAGTTGAAGGTTTCTCTATATTAGTTGAGTTTATAAATCTGAACATTCACTACTGAAACATCAACATTGAAAAATTATTCAAGGTTTATGTACATCCATAAACAAACAAACATATGACCGTGATAATGACTATTTTGTTGCTCACTTCAACATTGTAACATCTCTCATAAATCTAGAGTGGCGTGCTCGCCAATCAGACAATTTCAAATAAAGAGCTGATAAGATCCATGTACGTGATCATTAAGATAGAAGAACTTGTGCACCCGATCAACGATTATTGCGCAACTCAAAGGTATTATATCTTTCATAAGTCCAGAGTGACATCATCTCCGATCAAAACAAATGGTGCCCAGTCCTTGACTCTGTACCTCTTGGAATCTCTCATCCACTTTATGGTCTGGTGAAGAGCTTCACTAGCACTCAGTTTATCACATTTCAGGTGTCCGTAGAAACGAATCATGAACTCTTTCGTTGCTCGGTCATCCACGGCCCACAAGGTAACCAGCACTGAGCGAGCTCCCGCTGCCAAAAATGCGCGAGAGATACCCACAACTCCCTCTGATTTCATGATCTGTCCCTTGCCACTGTGACAACAGCTGAGTACAACCAGCTTAGCTCGGGTACCAACTTTTGCTACATCTTCCATGGTAAGCATGAAGTCTTCCTCCCTTAGAGTTCGTCTCGAGGGGCAATTTGAGGCAAGGGCAATTTCTCCTCTTTCTGCATCACCGTGGGCAGCAATGTGGATCAAACTAACATTCCGAATCTGTCGGAGGACCTGTTTCTTTGTGGCTTCATCTCCTACAGTAGCCGACACACCCAACAATTCTGCAATTTCCAGTGCTTCTCTTCTTGCTCCAGGCAATGATGGTAACTTTGCTTGTGGGGGAACAGAAGGATTACCAACAATCAACGCCCCAGTTGCACTGTGATAGTCTTCAGGACTGTCCTGGATCATCCTTAGTGCTGTTAGGGATGGAATCAGGCGGATTCGGAAGGTCTCTGACAGGAATTTGTCGTTGTTATCACATAACGCACAAAATGGCACCATAAATAAATCGCCTTCCGGGATAATGATGATCTCTTGACGATGAAGAAGATCAGCAACAGGGGTGAAAATATTCTTATACCACCGGTGGAAGCCAGAATCCTCCTTTTCTTCCCCTTCTTCCTCTTCTTCTTCCATGAGACGCTGCCCGCGTTTGTCTTTTATTTTCTCAGACGATGGTTTTAATCCATAGTATGCCGACAGTGAGCGATCTTCACATTCAGGCAGAGATTGTCCTCTTTGCAAATTCGTAAGCAAATCGATAGGGTTCTCTGCCATTTTGAATTGCAAAGACTTAAATTGAATTTCTGCATCTTCCAAAACCCACGAATATAGTTCTCTTCCACCAAAAGGCTTGGCAATGAAGAGGATAGTACTTTGGTTCCCGATAGAAAGTTCCCTAACACTATTTGAATAAAATTCGTGTGAATTCTTCCTTTGGATACCATATTTCTTAGACAGTAAGTCGCCAAGAGCTCGTGCGCGTCCTCGCTCTGCGACACACAGTGCCTGACAAAAATTCCCTTGACTTATATGAAGCGAACATAAGCTCTCATAGCTGAGAAAAGTTAGGTTATCCAGTGAAAGTTTATGTTCGTCCTGAAGTAGTTCGCGATTCTTTTCAGCGCAAGCAATGCTCTTAGAAAAGCAGGCTTTCGCCTTCTTTATCTCTCCCTCCTCACTGTAAGAGATTCCTAACAAGTGGAGGGCTTCCTGTTCTCTTCCTTTGTCTCCAATTTTTCTTGTTATCTTAAGGGCTTTCTCTCGAAGTTTCTTTGCTTTCTTCAGATTTCCAAGAGCTTTGTATGTACTTCCAGCATTAATCAAGGTTCCTGCTAAATCACTATCAATTCCCATTTCTTCCATAATGGGAATTGCTAAGTTAAAGTTGTCTAAAGATTCTTTAAATCGACCGCAAGACATGTAGCAGAAACCAAGGCCTGAGTAGCTATTTGCCTCCTGGTTTTTATCCCCAGTTTCCTTTGCGATTTTAAGGGCTCTTTGGAAGTACTTTTCCCCTTGTAAATGGTTTCCTAAACAAACACTTACGTCCCCGAGACCACGGTAGGCGTTTGACTCTATTTTCCTGTCCCCAGCAGTCTGACTACATTTAATGGCTTTCTGAAAACTATGCATTGCTTCCTTCATTTGGCCGATTACATTGTACATGTTCCCCAATAGACTTCTGGCTCGGCCTATTTCGAACATGGTTCCAGTTTCTTCCAAGATTTTCACTGCTTGTAGCTGGTGTTCCATGGCTTCCGCATAGCGACCGAGCCCTGAATAACAAAGGCCATGGCCATGATGAGCTTTTCCTAATTCTGTCGTTCTTGCACATTTTTCCATAATAGCAAGTGACTTTTGGAAATAATTCAGTGCTTCATAGTTCCTGGATTTGGCATTGTAGGTAGTGCCAATGTTATTGTAAGAAACACCTACATCCACCTCATCTCCGTGTTCTACCATCAGCTCTAGTGACTTAAAATGGCATTCTAGCGCCTTGTCATAATCGCCCTTCTCTTGATAGGTCATTCCGAGACGTCGGTATGACTCTCCTTCTGCTTTGCATTTGCCAAATTTTTTTAATATTTCCAATGACTCTTCTAGGCATTTGATTGCTTCTGAGTAATGAGCAAGATCTCTGTGTGTGCCACCAAGAAGAAATAGTACGTCTCCTTCCATTTGTTTGTCGCCAATTTCTCTGCAGATTTTCAGGGCGTAATTATGACACTCGATTGATTTATCCAGCTTACCCAAATTGTGATAAGAATCACCCATTTTTAGATAAACCTCTCCTGCTACTTGTTTATCCTCAGCTTTTTGAACAATTTGAAGTAATTTTCTTAAAAAGAAAATCGACTGAACGTGTTGACCCAGTGAGCGGTGCACGTCACTGATGTCTCTGAATGCTATTACATCCCAGTCTTTATCCCCAACTTCTTCGTTGAATTTTAAAAGTTGCCGATAGCTTTCTAATGATTCCTGTAACTCGTTTATACCTACGTATGAACATGCTAGTTTGTAATGTAACACAATTTCTAGTTTGTCTTTACTTCCTCTCAACAATACTTGGGTCTCCCTGTACATAGCAATAGCTTTGTGATATAGATGACTGTTGAACAGAAAGTCTGCAACCGTGTAAGCTATGAGGAATTTCTTCATTTTGGATGTCTCCAAATCTGTGGAAAAAGTCAAAGAATTAGTAAATTAGCCTTTCACCGCCTCACGATTTCAACATAAGTAAGAGAGTATTACTAGCTATTCTTATGACGTTCATAGCACTCAGCAGTATATCGTCTGAATACCTAAAATGAATCGCGTGAGAACTGGATGTAGAGAACAAAGAGAGTACATAAGTTGTATGCCAGTAGCTTGTATGCTGCCTTACTAAGTGTAGACGATTGAAAAAAAAAAAAAACAAAAAAACAATCACAAAAAACAACTCTAAAAAGCAATAAAGACTATCTCTATTGTTTTAAATATTTTTTCGCATGAACATTAGGTGTTGGCCTGAACTGTCTAAAAGTAATTTAGTGTGAGGTATGCCAGTAGCTTGTATGCTGAAATGTGTAAAAAAAACAAAACAACTCAAAGCAGACTATCTCTTTTCACTGTTGTTGCACCCCTCCCCCCCCCCCCACTTTCCTTTTTTTTGTCATTCAATCTGATATGCATATCCAAACGTGAACATTAGGCGTTGGCCTGAACTGTCCGAAGGTAATTTAGTATGAGGTATACTAATAGCTTGTATGCTGAAATGAGTAAAAAAAAACAACAACAACAACAACAAAAAAAATAATACATGCAGATTATCTCTTTTCACTTTTCATTGTTTCTGCACCCCCCTCACCCCTCCCCCCCACTTTTCTATTTTCTTGAGGTTTTTCTCTGGAAGAATTATTATAGTTTTTCAAACTCTCCCTTAGCAAACTATTTCACTTGGCCCGACCTCATTTAACATGGGTGTGAAATTTTTATCCATTCCATTTGTTTTGTGCCTCATAACTAATTGATTCATTTATTTATCTATTTATTACAGCTTAATGGGCCATCTAGATGAAAAATGAGAAAAAAATTCCCTATGGATAATCTATAAGAGTCCTTTGCCCTCACAAAACAGTTCATTATGTTAAATAAAATAACAGAATGAAAATATGCTTTATCTAATAATTTGTTAATGAAATAAAAAACGCGCCAAGTGCATTGTTGAGTTATATAAGCACGCGGGAATTTTTAAAAACACGAGAGAAGTGCGGAGAAGCACGAACCGAGTGTTCTTAAAAGTTCGCGCGCTCGTTCCGATGACGTTACCTGCGTGCATTATATCTCAACAGTGCACTCGTGTGAGGTAAGGCGCGTCCTTTATGGAAATATAATGAATTCGTTCTGATCAGTAGGAAATATAGTTTACATAATTGAGGAAGCATCCTCCCATCAATCGAAAATTTCACGAAAAAAGAAAATTCAACTTTAGATGCAAAATTATTGACATACTTGCAAGAAGTGATATATGGCAGGTGACTTAGGGTCTCCAAGAAGAAAAGAGAGATTTTATTTAAGATTATTTTTCTCAAATATTTCTTGTATAAAGATAAATTGTCACTAAGCTTAGGGAGTAACGGTCAGCCTCCAGATGAAAATATCCATTAGGTTGGATTTGAAACTAAATAGCAACCTTGATATTGAATATCAAGACACCAAATGAATCTGTGCATTACACACTAAAACCTCTTTCCCAAGGACTCCACCTCTTTCTTAAGAATAGGAGAGAACCTGGTGAAGAGTTGTCGCTTGTTAATAAATGACGATCGTTTTCTTGTTTACCTTTCTCTGTTTCCGGCGAGAAAGCACGAAGAAAGCCAACTTAAGTTTAAAGGGTTCGTCTGTTCGTTCCCTTCGTTAAACCAAACAGTTTCTGATTATTTCCCCGAAGAAATTCATAACGCGCCAATAACCAGTTGCGGTTGAATATATCCGAACAATACCCGAACTTGCAGTTAAGTTAAAGGAAAGAAATCTTCTCTCAGAAAAAAATGAATAATTTGTTAGTTTGTAGCTGTGCAGTACTGTATTCCTGATGGCATAGTGCTAACAGACCTCACCATACGTAATTAAAAACGCACTTCGACCCACATCGGCCCACTTCGGCCCACTTCCGCAACAGCGATTGGCATAATTTTGAATTTCTGGTGTACTTTTGCAATATCGATAATGAACAGTGATGAATACCAACCTCTGTCACCTCCTGACTTTAACCTTTTGACGTTTAAACATAAAAATTTCTTTTTGGTACCCAAAATGCTTTTGTATTTGATACGTGAGAAGTTTGCAGGTACTTGTCACAGTTGCTATCGCAACAAATTAATCCGCTGACCTCTTGCAACGCTGTTTCAGAAAATGGGAGAGGAACTGGTGGCGAAGAAAGGATGGCGAAGAGGAAAACAAAGAAACGTGAATGGATGTTAAGAAAGATAACTGAGTAAAGAACAAACAGGATAAAAAAAAGGCTTCCTCTGAGTACAATTTCGTAGAGAAATCGGGATTTAAGTTGGTGTTCGCTTCATGAAGATAGAGTCCAGCTTGTAACTCCAAGAAACTGTTTATCTGAGTAGTCAGTCATAAAAATTCTTGAAACGCGATTGGTTAATTGGCTAGCTTGACTGTAATTATGGTGCCCAAATGTTGCAAAAGTTAGAAATTTTCCCAAGAAGACTGCACATGCAGAAATCATGCACAAATGATGCGCGACTTAAGCTCATATTGAACTTGACAGGAGAGTGATATATAAAAATGCGAGCTAGAGAATAAGAGAACAAAATACAAGTGATTACGTATGGGCTTGTAACCAGAATTAGACAACAAAACGTCAAATTGTGGCTGTAAAACTTTTTAATGGAGACAGACTCAAACCCACCTTTCCACAGCATGTCATGCACATTTATTTCAGAACAATGTTTACTTCTATATATACAAACAAAAGTTATTTATTGCTTAACTGTTTTTACCACTTACAGATGTACATGTAAAATGCAATAGCAAGTAAACTGGTCATTATTCAAACAAAAAAATTCAAATATCTAAATATCTCAAATAGTCTGTTTCATTAAAAATGAAGACTAGATATGGGACACTAAAAGACAACACTTCATAAAACATTGCTTTGCAATCTATCAAAATACAAAAAAAGGCATCCTACTTTAGCTAAACTAACATGCAAAATAAGGTCAGTACAATGAGAACAGGGTACAGAATCTAGTACCTGCCACCACTTTCAAGCAACAGTGGTCTCTCTGTGAACTTTAACAAATTCAGTGACAGTGACCAAAACTTTGTCATCATTGTCACAAAGGTTGCAAAATTTTGCTCTCCATGAATTTTTCTGGAATGGAAATAGGGGTGCCAGAGACTGCTTGTAGGTTCAGGATCATTATTTTTTGATAGCTGTATTTTACCACACAATTTGTTTAAATTGGCTTGTAGAATTGGTGGATCAAGTTATAGTCTTATCCTCTCCTTTATACTGACCTTAAAATGCAACCCTAAAATAACGCAAGTCACAAATACTGGTGCAATTCCTGATTGTCTGACAGAGTGGATGGTACACAAAGATATTTTGACCATAACTTTCTAGAGGGTGATATTTTACTTAGATGATTGTTCCTGTATTTATCATGTACTTATCAATAACATAATAATTGTATTCAGAAATATCAGCCTTGAGTTCACAATGGAAAACACAGCTTTAAGATTTTAAGTTGGAAAGCAAAAAAAGCTACTTGAAGCTCTAGGCCGAACAAACTCAAAGGAAAACCTTCACCTATCAGAGCTCACTGTGGTCCTGATCACACTCAACCTTTTTGACCTTCCCCCCTTTGTTACCTCATACTAAATACCAGTACACATACAATTTCACTACAATTCATCATGCTTGATATGTAACAACCCAACTTTGTCAGACAAATAGAGCAACTCACCATTACAAAGAAGATAAAAGATAACTAGTACAAGTTTTAACAATTACAAGTGCATATTTTAAAATGGGCGTTTTCATGCATCAATGACCAGCTTCTGCTTCTCAATGGGAACCTTATGTTCCAAAGCTGGAGCTTCAAACTCCCCATCATATGAAAACTTGTCCTCATAGTCTTTGAGGTTGATTTTCTTGCCTGAGGCTGGTGGTTTGCAGCAGAACACCCACAAACAGCAGGTGAAGGTACCAATGCCAATAATAGCCACCACTGCAAAGACAGCCAAGCGGGCAGCAAATGGCAGCTTGTGGAACTTTGCGCAGAGTCCATGCTTTGACTAAGATAGACATACAGCAAAACAGTGTTTAAGAAACTACTGAATATTCCACAGGTTAAGCCTGGAAGCTAGTAACACACTCTTCAAATTCCAACTACAAAGAAACAGCACAATGAGCATTGTACTCTGCAGAGAGTGCAATACAGCTAATGGCACTCAATGTTGTGAAAATATGTGTGAAGAATATTTTGTTTTGACGTAGCAATCCTACTCTGAAATATTTTATGCTAATAACTTTTTGAAACCCTCACTCACAGATTTTCAAGGCTAACAAAACTGTAAAATAACAATGGCAATAAAACAGTTTCCTCCCTGTCTGAGAGTAGTTTCTTGCAGATAAAATTAACCCCCAGAGAAATGTAAAGGAAACTTTTCACAAAACCACACTGACACCACTTACAAAATACAAATATAAACTCATATGGATTGATAAATGTAAATCAAGACAACAGCAACAATATCAGTTTTTGTTTCTTTCATGTTTTATCTTAACAGGATTTACTGATTTTGAAGTAGGAAGAGGTTTAAAAAATGGCAACTGTGTTGAGGATCATATTTTACGGTGCATGTATTCTACAAAGTCACCAGCAAAGTTGACTGGATCCTAGCCCTTATGTACATGCATATGCACATGCACTACCCAGTCTGACCAACTGTCTACTTTGCATGCATACAAATCTTAAGTTTTATGTTTTACCGAGTCAGCTTGCAAAGGATGGTTTGGAAGCTGAGCTGGCTTGGGTTTTGGGTTTGACTTGTCACTGTATGGGTGGTCAGGCAAGTGGCCTAAAAGCAAATTAAATTAGTCAGAACTGTCAATTGATTTAAGCAGTAACTAAACAAATGATTAAAAACAGTACAGTTGTATGTAGATATACTGTACATATAAAAGATTTCAATGTAAGTCTACCAGAGCTCATTATGATTTGGTTAGCACAAGCCAACTAAGAGCATTGTTGCTCCTCCTGGACTATTTGAATTATACAAGACGACACTTTCTATGGTTTACCCAAAAATAACATGTGCAGGATGTTGGGAGAAAAGTTTGTAAATCTAAAGCTGGAGGTGAGTAATTCAAAAGCCTTCTGAATGTTCTCCTGATCAAGTGCAGTGATCTGTAAGTAGCCACATGTTCTATATGATGGCATTTGAAGAGAAAACAGAAAGCTTTGTCTGATTCTAACCAGGCTGCAGTAACAAAGGAGCCGCTGTGTCAACAAACTCTGTCATTAAGGCTAACATTAAACATGTGAATCACAATGGAAACCATCATCCAAAATAGCAAATAAGAAACACTGTACAGCAAAAGCCACTAGCAGTACTTACCATCAGGGTATCTATGATTGTCTTTATCGCGGGGTATCTTGTGTAAATCAGAATCTTTCAGCTCAATTGTTGTGACCACACGCTTGCCAATCAATTCATTGTTGGCAGAATCTAGTTTCAACACAAGCTGTGTCACTTTGATTTGTGTCAACGCTTGCTTGTCTACCTCAACAATTTCCTCCTGCACACGCAGCATTTTGAAAACTCCCTGCTCATTTATCTGTTCTGATTCATTGACCAACACCCTGATCACAATAAGGACCCTTGGCATGTGCTGAAGTACCTCACGGTTCTTGCCAATTTCATCTGCAATAATAGGTGACAGTTAAACATAATATACAGCAAACTCTGTACTTTTTATCCTTGTATAAATCACCAAGTACCTGCTCTTGATAGGGGCAAGGATGGCACAGCACCAAGAAGACTTGCCTTTACAACAACTTAACATATCTATCTCTAACTTCAACAAACATACATGTACAGCGTAAAAGTGCTCAATTTTTTAACTACATGTATGAATATTCTTATGAGTGACATGAAGAAATGCAAAGGGAGCTTGTACAGTTCAAAAAATAGCATCAACAGTTGCAGTTTCTGCTGAGGCATTTCAGCCTATCTTGTGACAAGTAAAACTGTTAACATTTGAATAATTTTTTAAGGGCTTAATATCACTAGAGGAGCTGTCATAAAAATGCAAGCCACATGAGCACAAAGCTAGCACAAATTTATATTGCCTTACCAATTTCTGCATAGAAGTGGAAAGTTGTGACTGCCTTATGAATGGCTTTAGCATTGTTCACGTGAACTACACCATCCACAACACTGACTCGGATGTTTACCTGAAAGAGAAAAAAAAATTATGCATAATGTACAATTAACTTCCTATCACAACATCTGCAAAGTGTTGAGCAGACAGGTGAAGAAAATACCCACACTTGATACTTATACATTTTTATGATCATTGACAACAAACAAGTTTACAAATCCAACAGGTAATGTATAGAAGCTCAAAGAAAGATCAACTCTATATGAATATATGAATTTCATACACTGTATTGTTACAAAAATATCACACTGTAGTCAAATCTCCCTCACTAATCGCTCTAATGCTTCCATCTAGCAACCTGTTTGTAAATAACTGTTTCATTGGTAAGTCAAATACTGTTCCCAAACTCTCTGTTCTATGACTTTGCATTTTGTTTGGTATGCAGATGAATGACAATCTACAAGACCCTACCAAATCCTAGAGTTTCTTGTGTTTCTTGCTATGTATGAAAACTGTCTGACATTTCCATTTATTGTAAACTGTTGTTATCATATAACTCTGACACCTGCAGTACTCAGTACTGAAATAAACACAACATAGATCGGTAGGTTAAGTTTGATTACAAGGAGAAACATTTCTAAAAAACATTTGCTAGCTGTTTTCAAAATTGGTATCCGTCATAGCCAGTGTTTTACTGTTATATTTTTCTTTTTCGTCAAGATAATTTTTGTGTCAAAGGATGGATATTTTTCTCATTTCGAACCGACCTACACTTAAATGTAACTGATAAGAAGGGGTTTAACGCTGATAACCAACTTTTTACAAAAGGTTTAAAAAGACAAATCTGCTTCCTTTTTTTCCTTTCCTGTTGCTACCAAATAATGTACATAATCTACCAAATGGAGACATTACCCCTTAGGGTTTTTAGAAATAAATATTTGAGGTGCTGTCGCTGCATTTAATACCATCTGAGGTAGTCTAATCAAGTCCATCAAGTCCATACACTTGCTTAAACAACAAATGAGTCATAGAGAACTTCAACGTACTTGAACAAAATACTTTTATCCGATAGCAAATATATAAATGGTTTAAACCAGGTCAAAGTCCATAAAAAACATCTATATTTCTGCATGCTAGCGTCACGTTCTTAATTAAGCGGCCATATCGAATTTTGACTGAAGTTTAAGCAACAGTCGAATTAGGATCCTAAAAGTTCTTCGATATCTCTCATTTCCTGGTCATACCATTTCTCTAATAAGCCGTAAAACTGATGTAAAATACCAATAAAAGGGAAGCAAACTCACTCTTAGAATTCTAGCATCTTTAACGCCGCCATTCTGATCACGGTCAACCTTAGTTTGCTCAAAGTCGATGCTAACAGTCTCACTGTTAGCTCTATCCGTCTCTGTTACATTAATTTGGGTACTTTGATCCTTAGTTGTCTCCTTGAGGCTCACTTCTGAACCGTATACTACGGAGAGAAGAAGAAAGATAACAACTCCCGACTTCATGATTCGAAACGCCGTACGCCGTGTTAGTAATATTGTGCTGACTTTACAACATCCCCGGATGTGAGGAAGTAAGGGCGCGCCACCTGCTTAGTAGCCACGCAGCTGTTCTGGAAGTAGCACAGACAAGCAGGCATGAAAGCTGAAGTTCTCGATCACGTATCACCGAATAAAATATTTTTCCCCGCATTTTACAGGAAAGAATAGACCTTTACCATTTTCAAGCATATTTAATTATAAAAGGACCATATACCATGAACTACACATTTCAAATTTACGACCAATAACTCCTGCAGTTCATTTCTTTATATTCCAAATGTTACAAAGCTTTTCTATTTCAGCTCAGAGAAGGCGGTTGCTATGACATACTCAACCTAAAAATAGGAATTCACCTTTCTCTTCCCCGACGCACGAGTCGCCTTTGCAAGTCAAAGCTGACCGAGAGTTTGGTGTGTATTTAGCTCTGACGAGGAGCTAAGGTTCGAAACAAACAACCTAAAGCAAAAAAGAAAAACAAAACAACAGCAACAACAACAAAACAAAACAAAACAACAAATCGAAAAGGAAAAAAAAAAAACTTGACCAGATCACTTGAAATACGCACAACCCACTCTTGCTACCTGCTCGCCGTTGCTCTTCTATGCATGCAAAACTAAAAAAAGCACTTAAAAAAAATACTTATCATTTTACGGACTGTGTGTGGCAATCTATGATAAAATACCATAAAGGTTACAGTTTTTAAAAACTCTATGAGACCACAGTGTTGCATAATATTCTTCATTTTCGAATAAAGTGGTTTAAAAGCATTTCCCATAGGACGCATATCACGAAAAATTAAACAGCCTGAAAGAGACATGGTTTTACCGGAGAGAATAAATGAAGTTAGTAAGTAAACAGGAAACAAATGACTTCGATGACACAAATATTAAGCAGCTTTCTAATTATACACATGACGAACAACGCAACGCTGATTGATTCCAAAATGTCGTTCCCAGTCTTCGTATATAATTCTCGGTCTCTTTGATTAAAATGGCTGCTCGCGTATTACGCAAGTTTTGTTCTTCAACAACTCTTTCACCTTTGAAACATTATTTCAATTTATGTCCAAGAAATACATCTTTATTTGTAACAAGAAATGTCTGTATACGAATGGCTAGTACATCCACGTCAAAGGCGAATGAGAAAAAGGATGTGTAAGTCAAAGTTCATACCTGTAGATTCTTTATTTTCATATTATTTTCATTGTTCGTCCCTTAAGGGAACCAAACAAATGCAAATCTAAGCCAGTTTTCACCATCATTTCTCAGAGAACGGTCTCTCCGCAGTTGTTTACAACATTAAATAAGGTTTTTAAACTAGTTGCAATCAAAATCTAATTAGTTTACTCACTTGTCTATCGTAAAATATGTTCGTAATATTCGAAGTCAAGGTTCCTCGATGACAAACTTATTTATCTGTACAGCCACAAGAAATAGACATTTGACATATTAAAAATAGGTCCGCACTTCGTACTTGTATCTAGTGCAAAATGGAAATGAACATGTTATTAGATAATAACATGCTTACACTGGTGTACTGCACTTCAAATTTATTCAGAAAATATGCTGGATAGATGTAACTGGGTGCATAGTTGTACCTAAATGCAGTTGTTTTTAAGGAAATTGTTTGATAGTCTATCTAATAATTATGCTATGAGTTTTGAGTTTTTGAAGCAAATTGATCCATGATAGAGTTTGTCAACCAATAAGAAGCAAAACTAAAACCAATTATGACTACCAAACAGGATTTTTTTTAATATTTAAGCAACAGCAAATACAATTTTGGTAGTAAACCAGTTTTTTGGAAATTTTGGTGCAAAAAAAAAACAAACATATTTCAGTACAAGGATTCCTATAAAATATTTAATTCTCATGCAAAACAAAGATAGATTCAATTTGGGTACAATTTGTGAGGAATTATGATCATATTGGGGCATTACCATATTCGGCATACAAAATGAAATGGAGAGTAAATGAACACAAGGAATTTTAAAATTAAATCAAAAGGAATATACAAATTATGCCATGTGTTAGTTCCTGAGGGGTGGATCGTCCTGCAGAAAGTAAGTAAAATCTTGAAGTCTATTAAAACACTGGCCATGTAGTACTGATCGTGTGTGGATTAAAAGAAAAGTAACAATGAACAAAGTCTTAAAGTCGATTATGAAGTTGAAATGGGAGCAGGTATGATCAAAAGCCCTTTTTGAATCAGTAACTTTGTGAACACTAGTTTGCTAATAAATAACCTTGCTGTGCTTCCTCAGTCCCTCCCTAAGACATGGCAGTCTACAAGATGCATGGTAATTTGGTATTATCATCGATATTGATAAGGTAAATTGGCCACCATAAAGAGTTTTAAAGCTGAGGTTTTGAGCATTAGCCTTTAATCAGAGGAAATGGAGGAATTGTGGGTGTGTGTGTGTGTTTATATGTGGAAAATGGAGCTATGTTCCAATGGTGAGAACATGGTACCAAAAAACCAGGGAAAATTAGTTGATTGAAAAGCATTTGTTAATACCATGGGGATTAAGAGTGCCGATTTGAAAGGTAAATTTTTGTTCTAGATTTTTGTGTCTTTCTGAACTGCCTTGAAGCAGGGAAAGGTTGCAAACTGCCATATGCTGTTTGGAATGGGTGATTGCAGTGTCTAGCAACTAGTTTCGATGTGTCCTTTATTTCTTTCTACGTCATGAAGTTGTTCTCAGAATCAGTGACACCTAGTTGTCTTCTTGTTTCACCAGTGTTAACTTTTTGCATGGTTCTCTATGACAATAACCTTAATTCTTGTCAGGTTGTCTTCTTCGAATTCAATTGGTCTGGAATATCCCTCTGTTTGCTCAAGGATTTTCACTTACTAAATAAGGATTTCTGATTCAACACAACAGATCTTGGGACAAACACATGTTGTTACACCACATCACTGGTTATGCATTCTTGTCATATTTGTGTTGTGCAATGAATGCTTACTTCCTGTACCCTGTCATGTACTGTAAATTTCACAGAAACCATTACGGCATTGTGTCATTATGTTATTTGTTGTCCTATTTAAAGCACTTGAACAATCTCTTACCACTCCTGCAAAGTGTCTAGTTGCCATGCACTTAAGACACAAAAATCTTCTTGCCTGTGGTGCTGGTATGCTCAAGTCTGAAATGAAGCAAATTAAAGCAAAATAAACTTTTGTAGTAAAAACTACTTATCCACAAGTAAAAACCTTGTCTGATTTTACATTAGTCTCAGTTTGTGAAGAGAGATTAATCCATGCAAAGAGTGATTGTTTTGATGCATCATGACAAGTAAATGAAAATTGTTCAAGCTTTTTCCAGGGTATGATGTTTTTATCCCGCACATACTGAGGTTTTTTCTTACTGACCGACATATTTCATAGATTGGAAGCCATTTGTTGCCCTCCACTTTGAAGTACTATTGTTTGTGTCTCTGACTGAATGAACAATGTATCTTCACAGTCCTTTGTTTAATATGTGTGAAATAAGTTAAATGATGATATGAAATTACAATTATTAAATATAACAATATGATGAAAGTAGTATGATAATATAATATACTTACCTAAGCCCTCTGGGTTGAAAAAGAAAACAGCTGCTAATTGTAATGGGTAACATGGATCCTTTTGTGTAGTATCAGCCTCACTTCTTGAGGATTCACCTCAAGAGTTGTGTTCATCATGATTTACTTGTACTTATTGGTTTCTTACATCAACCAGAAGTTCTCAGTTTCATCATGCAGTGCATTATGCCCTGTTGGTATGCTGTATGTAAAACAAACAAAAAAGTAGTTAATATGGAAATTTTGGCCATTCAATCTTTTTTAAGAACTCCTTGAGAAAAAGAAAAAAGGTTTTGAGTCCCTGAAAGGTTAAAAAAATAAGATAAAATTACTTTAGCCCTTTAACCCCTTAGAGTGACTAGCATCTCATTTCTCCTTATAATATCACCCTTGAATTAAACATTCTCATAGGAATAGGGGAAATGATCACCAACTAAAGCAGCTCTTATTAAACAGTCTCCTTGTCAGCACATTAGGAAATGTAGAGGAAACATTAAGGAGAATATGTATACTGATGTTAGGGTGGAGAAGATTTAGGGGAGCTAGTTTTAGTTAAAAGTATCAGAGGTTTTGAGACACCAAAGCTTCAAAATATGGATTTAACAGTACACTGTTTTTTGAACTTTGGTAATTCTGACCATTTTTTACCTCTTTTTCAGGGTGACAGTAAGTTTTATTGATAGAGATGGAGACAAAATGACTGTTAGTGCAAAAATAGGAGATAGTTTATTGGATGTGGCAAAAGACAATGATGTTGATTTAGAAGGTAAGTATACAGAATTCTGTCATGTGATAAACTTTAAAGAAATGCCTTCTCTGTATGTTCTTGTAATTTGAAAGCCTTCTCTTCCATTGCTTTTAATTGTATTTAATACAAGTAGATGTGGCATGAGGTTCAAATGAGGCTGAATTGGTTTCCTTTAAACTATACTTTCTGACAAGCACTGTCCCTTTCCTGTTAAAGTATCACTTCTTGGTTAAAAAGGATTCATCACTTTTCCACTTGTCACTGAACCCTGTACACCTTGCCATCAGGGTCTTGTTGTTCAAATGGCAGACAACACTATCCAACAGACAAACTACTATCCAGTGGATAGGAGTTAACAAAAGTGCTGTGCTATACACTGGATAGAGATGTAATTATCCAGTGGATAGCATTATTTTAATCCTTCAAACAACCGAGTCCAGTTTGAATATTCTCCATACTGTATTAATTACATTTCCTATGGTGTGGACAAAGAAAGTTTGTTTAACAATCAAGAGCTTTTGTAGTTGTTGATCATTGATTTTTCCTCTATTCCTGTGACCTTAATGTGTGGTGTGATTCGGGGGTGATATTCAGTGTAGGGAGTAAATTAGATGCTAATCTTTATTAGGGTTTTAAAGGGTATAGATCTTGCTGATTACTGAGTGTTTATTGATCAACCTAACATTGGTCAGAAGTCCTGGTGGAGGGCATTTTATTGGGCCATTTCTCTATAAGGTGCCAGCTGCTTGAACTAGACAAAGCAGTATTAAAACTACCACTCTTGATCTGAAATAAATTTTTTTCTATTATTTTAAATTTGATTTTTTTGTATGGCTGGCCACTAAAAATATATCATTCTGGAGAACACTTGATGACTATGCAGTGATTTCATTACAGGTGCTTGTGAAGGGACCCTGTCATGTTCTACTTGTCATTTGATATTTGAACCTGAAGAAATGAAGACATTGAACTTGGATGACCCATCAGATGAGGAACTTGACATGCTGGACTTAGCATATGGACTGGAAGACACGTAAGTTCACTGTTTCCCAGCCATATTTTGACTTATGAATAAAGGGGTAAGTTTCTAAAGAAACTGCTATGCCGCATCAGTGGGAAATTGTAACATGGTAATATGGTGTCATCAACTAAGTTGAGAACCTGAATTGGCCACCGTTAAGAGTTCCTAAGGTGGCGTTTCAAGCATAACTCTTCATCAGAGCGAATGACAAAGGGCTTACGCTTGAAACATTAGTTGTGAAATTCTTAACAGTGGCTAATTTATGTTATCAACTCAGTTGGTAACACCAAATTAACACATTTTTAAGGGAGGTGAAGGTCAGAACAATTTAAGAGATGAAGTAAGAAGTAAAAAAATCATGAAGATTACAGAAAATGTACAGCAGCTACTGTAATTAAATGTGGATTAAACCAGAAGAACTTGATTTTGTGACAAAGAATTAATACACAGCAGCTTCAAAATAGTTGTGTGATTTGGACAATGGGACACTTCTGGGTTTTTGACCTTCTTTTATGGGTAAAGTTTTTCAGAAAATGTGTTAAAGGGAACTGAAAACTGCTGAAAGTTAGCACAAAGTGTGTATTGTAGAAGGTTGGCATTATCCAGGGTAAAATTTGTGGTGGATGTTTGACAGAAATCCATGGGAATGGATTTGGTTCAAGCCAGTTGAAGGTTTGAGTTAGCAAGAGTTTGAGGTATCATGAGTCAATATAGCAAAAAAATTAACAGTTCTCCAGCAGAGGAAGTAACTAGACACATGTAGACAATTTGCAACTACTGTTAGTAGGAAATGTTGAGGCTTTTGTAACCTGAATGAGTGATCTGGGTACTGCTGACTCTAATGACATTTCATTTCCCTCAGCAAAATTTCTGTACTCATTTGCTTGCAAAACTTTGTGTTGCCTTTTGTTTATATCGTTCATTCAAGGAGTATAATTTTGCTCTCTACTTCTTTTAGGTCTCGTCTTGGCTGTCAGATCATTGTTACCAAGGCCTTTGAAGGAATAACTTTGAGAGTGCCAAAAGCCCACAGAGATGTCCGTGATCTCTGATAGAATCCATCCAACTGAGAAAGAACTCTTCTGCTTTATTGAATAACAATGTACAATTTATACCTCTTTTACGTTGCACAATTTGAATCCATTTTTACACAGTCTCGCACAGAAAATAAAAGCCTACAGGTACTTAGTAGACTTCTAGGTCTATATCCACCTCTACCTCCTTCATGACTGTAAACTTTTGTACTACACGGTTTTAATTATGAAATGTAGTAACAGGATGATGTGATACATTGCGAGTATATTCTCTACCAAGGCCTGAATAAGTAACAATTCAGAGCATGGACGTGGACTCTGGGTCAAGAGGTCTGATTTTGAGACCTTAATTCTTAAACCCATAAGGGTGACTAGCATCTAATTTCTTCTAACCATATCAGCCCAGAATCACACATTAAGGTCATGAGAATAAAGGAAGTAATCACCAACTAAAGAAGCTCTTGATTGTTCAACAAATTCTCCTTGTTTAAGCACCTTAGGAAATCTATGGAGAACAGTATGGAGAATATGCATACTGATGTTAGGATGTGAAGGGTTAAAGCTGGGTCTTTGTGTTGTGTTGTGTAAACACTTCAGTTTCACAGTGCCTCTCTTCACCCAGGAGTATAAATGAGTACTGATGAATTGTCAGGAGAGCCTGATGAAAATATTGGGGGCTAATCTTGTGTTTGACTGGCATCCCATACTAGGTGGGAGTTGTGATACTCCTTGTTGTTATATGCCATGGAAATGGGGATAAGCACCGGCTGGATGGGCCATTGGGCTCAACTACAGACTGGCCATCGAAATTTAAGCAGAGGATTCTACATTGTAGTGGGAGAATTCTCTGGTCTCCATTGCTAAATGAACACCATGTGGATGTACAAGCCAAAATATCCATTAAGCAAGGTGCTACCTTTCATCTTTACAATGCTATGCTAAAATAAAGAAACCTTGACGCAATTATTTATCCTTTTCCGTCTCATCTTCTCTGTAATGTTATAAATGGGTTCAGAAAATGGCCAGACTAGGAAAAAAGTTTACGAGGCACAATGTAAGCTAGTATAGTACCATTTACAGAAAACAATTTAGCTTTGCCATTCTAGAACAAAACAGTTTCCCTGACATTGGCCAATTTGTCTGTTGTGTTGATAGTGCCCACTCGATTGTCTTTGGCACCTGATTTTCCTCGTTGTTCTGATTGACTGCTGCGATCCTTCTGGTTTTAATCCTACGTTCCTAAAGCAGTAACTAAGGATCCCTGAGAAAGTGCAGATAGATGGAAATAACCCTCCACCCTGTAACAAATAAATGGGATAAAAATATAAACACATCCTAGTTAACTCTTAATTCGTCGTCCAACCTTCGCAATTAAATTTTTCGCGGTCTCCTCTTTCTTCGGCTTTGCCGAGCCTGTTACGAAAAATGGATCTTTTTCGCATAAACTGCTCGAAAACATTCTGGAATAACTAATGCTTACCCTGATCCTTGTTTGTAAGGTTCTTGTACTGTTTACAAACTGGTGTCAAATACCGTACATTGTCTATATGGGCCAATAAGTTCCATGCAAATGTACGAGAACTTGTTCTTTTGTTGATTAATTTTCCACGCATCGTGTCACAATATATTCATTTGACCTTTGTGTGCAAGTCTTAATTACGATAACTTGAGTTTCCTCGGAATACTCGCATCAGAAACAAACATAGTCTTTAGGTAAGGATTATGAAGCAACGAAAGGCATGGATATGTTATTATTTGATTTCAGTTTTACAGGTACAAGCTTTTTTATTGTGCTATTTGCTTAAATATAAATCACCGATTTAACTAGTTATCATAGACGTGAACTTTTTCATACCGTGAGTGATGTAGATTGTAATATTGACAGCACACCACCATTGGACTTTCAGAAATGTTTTTCTTGGGATAGCAATCGGCATAAAATGGTGTTTAAAATAGTCCTTATTTTACTGTAAATGAAATGCATTTCTTTAGTATACTATGTCAGTCCTAACCTTAATTAGGTCGAGTGGAAAAAAACGATTTTTATTCGCACCTATAAAGCTAATTCACTAAACTTTCTAGTTTTTGTTTTTCTTCCCTTGAAAGGTAAAAGGTATTTCACGAACAGTCTCTTCCTATTTTGGTGAAAATCGTCCACGTCTTTATCAGTTGAATTGTTTAATTTTTTATTTGGCCAGACGAAGTACAAGAATATTAACTGCAATCAGGTCTTCATGAAGTGCCTCGAGCTCTTTAGCAAGATTACTTTACAGCTTGTCTGCATTCTGGTGTTAAGTTTGTCCTTTCAACAAAGGAGTCTAAGAACACTTGTATAAATAAACACATCCTGTTTAAAAAGTGTCTTTCAGTCACAAGCAGTTGACATTCTGTTCCGGTAGAAATATTTTCAGTTATAACACCTGTACATGTGGGCCAGACGCCGTGCGGAGATATTGAATGGCAGTCTTGAAGGTAGATGATCTCTGTCAGACAAGCAGAGAACTCACACAATAACATGGCGGAGAGCAATGTCACGCGGTGTAGTACCATGAAATACCACACAGAGGAATAAATATGAAACTAATTTGCTTTTTCTCGAAATGAAGTTGCACGGTTAGGCTGAAGTTCACACGCAGTAATTGAACCGCGCGCGCGATCTGTGCGATTTGGAGCTTATCGCGACTCGCGAGACCACAACAAAATCACACGTGCCACACAATGCTTACTTTAATGTGCTTTCTGATCATTATGCAATTAGTACTTGTTCCTACAAACCTAGACTGATTTTAAGCTTTAAGGGCGTCGTAAGCGTTTTTCATAAGTTTCTGAAAACCTTTTTAGGCGAATTAGTCAAACGAGCGCGCTATCTTCATTTCTTCTCTGAGTAAGTTTCACATATATACTTTCGCATGTAAAGGTGTCAGCCTATAAAAACTAGTTGGTAATTTAGTGTTGACAACTGAGTTGAAAACGTAATTTAGTGTTGACAACTGAGTTAAAAACTTACGTTTTAGCTTTTTTACTCTTTACGGTGGCCAATTTACGTTTTCAACTCAGCTCAACACTAAATTACCTGCTATACTCTCCCACCGACGCAGCACCACAGTTTCTTTAGAAACTTACCCCCTTTATAAAAACTAGTTGTTTTTTGACGCAAGATGCCGACGTTGGAAATCGTTTCATTGTTCTAGAAAACAAGAGCTCCCCGCCAACTACTGCTGCTTCTCTCATAAGAAAAAACGCCTCAATCGCAACTTTGGTTTGTTTCAATCCTTTTCGCGGCTAATATTTCCTTTGGTTCGAGTTTTGTTTTATTAGCATAGAGTCAATACCATAGGCTGAAGTCAGCTTCATGTATGTTTCTTTTATCAGCGAATAACCTAACGCTAGATTATCATTGGTTTTTTCCTTCCAGAATTTCTTCTTGTTGTTGAAGAATTAAGACGCAACAGAAGAGTGCAGTTTCTGGATATGGATTTTGATTCTATAAATTTATATTCAGTGCTTTTTTTTTATAGAGAACTGGAATACGAAAAAAGTATTTCAATATCTCGCTAAACTCAATGAATTCAATACTCGTCATAAGATATTGATTTTACCTTGTTGTTTAATGCAAAGAAAGCCGACAATATAGTATTACAGCTGGTACTCTAACTGTGCACCATTGTGCCTATATGTACGACTAAAAATAACCTGTTCAATGATAACGCTTTTTATTTCAAGACTGTACTAGTCGAAAATACAGTAGACGGTTAATTTGGGTTTGGAAATATACTATGAAATTAACAAAAATTGCAAGATGAAAAACTTCGAGAACGCATTTTAAATTACTCTATTGTTTTACAAATTTCGTGATATATTTTGTCTCTCGCTGCATGGGGTTGTTTTCAACACGAGGTGTTCAGTTAAGTAGAACTGATTTCTCATTTAAGCTGACCTAGAAGAAACTCTTTGGAAGTTGTGATGGAAATGATTCTTCCTGCTTAGCGTCAGTATGTATTTGAACATCAGCTGTTTCTTTCAGTCTTCTGAAAAGTAAAAATAACCATCTCGGATAGTAATTTTCTTAGTTTAATTTTTGCAAGTCGCGCGCTTTTTGTCGTATACCTTTGTAATGTCTATCCAATTGTTCGCCACAGTTCGTGTTTAACTAAGCCGTCTAATCCCAGATTAGACGAAACACTCACAGTTCTCCATCGCAAAGGAAAAAGATATATAGGAAAGGTTGGGAAATTGCTTTTATTTTTGAATGAAAATTAATCGCTCCTCGACGTGGCGCGAAATAATAGAAGGAAGACACGCATGCGCCAATTCTTAATATTGTTTATAAATGTATGCAAATGTTTCATGAGGACAAAGTAGGTCCCTGACCTAGGTCTACCTTTTTCACGGTGTTTTTCGACGCTTTTAATGTTTGTTTTAGGTACAATATGTCAGAATTACGAAGGAGGAAGGCTGGTCCCAGAAAAGACAAGAATCGGCCTTCGGCATCTCATGCGAACGACAGTTCGAAAGGCCAGCTGAAATCTGAAAGGAAACCGGAACAAGGGGTTTGGTATACTTGCGTTAATTACGTCTTTGGAGCGACTGTTGCCGTGATTGTGGGACTCAAATATGCTCTATATGTGCGGGAACTTCACGAAAATGATATGTGGTTCTCCAACATAGGCGTAAGTGGTCAAATTAAACATAAATGAGCGCAGTTTTAGTGCTGAATGTGTGTCCATTGTAGTTATATAGCTATTATAATAGCTATCTCATCTATTTTACTGTTTTTTTTCCTCATGTTTGCTTTAAATTTGAAATATAGTCGGTTGCCTTATATCGATTATTAAAATTTGAATATGACTGGTTCCTAATATCCTTACGATGACCGACTTTGACTGAGCGCTATTTTTTTTCAAAAGTCAATTGGGAAATTAGAATTAAATAATCCTTCGACTACTGCCTACTTCAGCGAGAAATATTGTAATGAATGGTATTTTTTAAAAGGAGTTGGATATTGGTTCTATTACATTTGGTTCAAATTTTCTTAATTACTAACTATTTTTTGCTTCCTTTGACCTGAGCATTAAATATCTCGACACAGCTGAGCAACATAGTTTTTTCAAATTATGTTGTAAACTAAAGATAATTTTTTTAATGTTTGAATCTTACTATCTTAGAGTGGTAGAAGTATTGAAATCTGAAGATTTCTGAGATAGGAAGAGCTAATTATACTGTGAAACATTTTTGAATATTGAGAAAAAAAAAGAAAAAAAAAAATCAGCATAATTCATTCTGTACATATTGTTTAATTTGCTGCATACCCAAACAATATACATGCAACCGAGCAACAACAAATGAGGAGTGAGGACTTTAAGTAAAAAATGTACTTGAGCTAGCAGCCCACTGACTTCTGAAACCATATGTTTGAAGACCAGACAATGCAACCCATTAGATAAATTGCTATTTGTTACCATGAAGCACTGTTAATTTTGCTGATATATCCTTCAACCCTTCAACCCTTCAACCCCTAAGAGTGTCTAGCATCTAATTTCTCCTTACAATATCACCCTTTAATCAAACGTTAAGGTCATGAGAATAGAGGGAATGATCACCAACTAAAGCAGCTAATGATTATTAAACAAATTCTCTTTATCAGCACCTTGGGAAATGTATAGTGAATAGTATGGAGAATATGAACACTGATGTTAGGGGAGAAAGGGTTAAATGGGATTTTTCAAGCAAAGAGCACTTTTTTATTCAGCCTTTAGGTATAGATGCTTGCTAAAAGTCTGCTTTTAACTCTTTGACCCTTACATGTGACTAGCATCTAATTTCTCCTTACAATGTCATCCCTGAGTCAAACATTAAGTTCACAAGAATAAAGGAAATGATCACCAACCAAAGAAGCTCTTGATTATTAAACAAATTCTCTTTGCATTTTTAAAATGTCTCCTATTTGATCTTTCACTATTTCCATGTCATCTATTGGCTTTATATTACATTGATTTCCAAAGGGAAAATGAAGTATTTGTCACTTGTAGCAGAGAAAGGGAGATGGAAACTTTCTAGAACAGAGTAAAAGAGCACATGTCTATATTGTGGTTAGCCCTTTATGCTCTAACATCAGTATGCATATTCTCCATACCTTTCTCTATACATTTCCTAAGGTGCTCACAAGGAGAATTTGTTCATCGATGAAGAGCTCTCTAATTGGTGATCATTTCCTTTATTCTTGTGACCTTAATAAGTTATTCAGTGGTGACGGTGTATGGAGAAATTAGATGCTAGTCAATCTTAGCTATTAAAGGGTTCAAGTAGCTTGATCCACATTATAACTGTAATAAATGCACTTATCAGATATTTTGTTGTCAACCTCTTTGAACACTAAACAATGAATATTCCTGGTTTACCCCTTATTTAGCAAATAGAGAGGGAAATATCCTTCAGAACAGAGTCTGGATTATATTTTTCATTCTACAAGCAAATAGTACTAGCGCCATCGTTATTACAAGGTAAGCCAAGAACTGTCAATAGTTTAATACACTTGCTTTTGAGACTAATCCAAGAGAATATATAGTTATTTTTAGCCTGTTTGCAGAGTCATTTTTGGAATTCCTAGAAATATATAAAAAATAGGAAGGTTTTCCTTTTCTCAAATTTGAAAGTGACTCTTTCATTAGCCTAAGGGTAAAGAGTTACAGGTAATACTTTCTATAGTGGGTCAGTCCCATTTAATAAAAGCTTTAAAAGATCATCAGAGAGGTCTGAAATTATGGGCAGAGTTGTTATTTGGATACAATAATGATGTATTGTCCAGTATGGCTTTGACATTGCCAACTATAAAGATTGTAACTTTTTCATATTGTTTGCTTATTTTGGTCATTTGGAATGGAGGTAAAATGAAGTATATTTAATTTAGTTCATGATCAAACCCCACTTCTTGATGAAAACTAAATGAAGTACTAGTTTAGCCATCAAAAGATGATCAAACATAACAATTCTTATTTGCTACTTGTATTAAAATTTTGTAGGTATTCAAGATGTTATGCATGACAATAGAACAGAGCACCTGAGGACAATTAATATTTTAGAGAGATTTAATATTTATCAAGAAGTTATTTTAGCAGCTCTGTACAGAATTTTACCAATACAGGTACATGTTCTACTCTTTTGTAGAGAAATGATAATTTTATGATCATTGTATTTTTTATAATTTGACAATTAGTTTAGGCTACTTAATTTACCCACTTTTTATCATGGAATTGATTGCAAGTAGCAGAGCCAATCAGGTTGCAGCATTTGTGATAGATTAGTTGTAAAGTTACACTAATTATAATTATGATTTTTTTTATAATTTACAATTAGATCAGATTAGATAATGAGGGAAAAGCCTGAATCAACTGTCTTGCTTAGAAATTGAGAGCAAGTAATATTATTGTTATAGTGTATATGTACTGGTCATTTGAAACTAAATAGCAAGACAGGCTCCTGTTTTTATCTAATTTTGCATAAGGGCCTCACATTGTTAGGCTACTCTTACCCACTATTTGTCAGGGAATTGATAGTGAGTAGCAAAGCCAATCAGGTTGCAGAATTTGTCATGGAGTGCTTGTTGAGTAACACTTATTATAATTATAAACTGTAATTAAAATCTGTCAATTACTTTACTCTAGTTTGTGGGTTAAATTATATAATAATTTGTATCAGTTTAATTATGTGTCCAATTATTTATTATTCCCTGATTATTTTGTATGTACTTTCTTTTTGTCTTCTCTTGAAGGGATCTGTGGAATATGTGTACTTTTATATTGATACGATCTTTGGCTTACATGGGATGTACATGGTGTCGTTGTTTGTATCATCATGGTTACTGAGTGGTTCTTGGCTGGCTGGGCTGCTGTCTGCAAGTTTCTATATTTTTAACAAGTAAGGTTATCATTGAAAGACTTTATGTTCTTGAAAGGAAACACTATTGGCATTGATTATCACAAATCCTGACTGCACCTTGAACACTCCTGACCAAACATTTTACTACCTCTTTATTTACTTCATGGTATTAAATTAATAAATGCTAAACTTGAATATCTTCTGCTGTGTTTCAGGGATGAAACTACACGACTGTGGTTTACAATTCCACTGCGTGAGAGTTTTGGATTTCCGTTCATTTTTGCACAACTTGCATTTATTACTGTTTACTTTAAGAGGAATGTTTCTTCACTTGCTCAGGTATTTTGCAGCTCTTTAAAGTTCTGAAAATTGTTATTATTGATATGCGGATGATTTTGCTTTTCTTCAAAACCTGTCCTGGTCATATCCCTTGTGTTAGAGGGGAAGGGGTAGAATACAATAAAAAATCCAACCAGGGAACACCATCTGGATGAGTAAAAGAGCCCAAGGTACATGTACAGAGGTGTTCTTGTAAGAAGATGACAATCTGGAATCATAACCAGTTGGTGTGGAATCAAGCTGGGATCATGATCAGTTGGTGTGATGTCTGTACAGATTTTGCCAACTTAATAAATGTTGTTATAGATGTAACCTAATAGTTAGCACTTGTTCCATGAGTAATTATTAGTTTGCCATTTATTTGGGAGGTTTCATACCCAGACAAGTGCTTATAAGTATGACTAATGCAAGGGCATAAGATTCTTCTTTTTCCTTTTTTTTAACTTGGCAGTAATATTCTCATGTCTAAGTTTAATTGTTTTAATTTTTCTCCCTAGGCAGTATGTTTGGTTGGCATAGCAGTTTCAACATTTTTCTTTACATTAGTGTGGCAGTTTGCCCAGTTCATTCTTCTTTTGGAGTCTATGGCATTCTTTGGTACCTATTCCCTTGGCTTTATCCCCAAATATAAGGTTAGGAATGCTGTTCTCTTCCCTCAATATGAAATCATGGTAATAGTTCAGAGTTCACAAAAATACCAATTTTGTCATCATCCCTACGAATTCTTTTTTTTTTTTTTGCTTAACCAACCTATGTTTTTCAGAAAGGAAACTAGGCTTTTCCTGAATGCAGGCATCTACAGTCAATTCTTCTTTTTCTTTTTTCTCTTTGGCCAACCTGAACCCACTTGCATGAGAAGGGATCAAGGCAATGAGAAATTAAACATTTTATGGAGTGACCTGTGTATGAAATTAATAATAAAATCAAGAAAAAGAAGAGAGGAAGAAGAAGAAGAAATTGATTTAGGCAATGCAGTTTCATTAAAAGACA